CTTTTCAAGTGTTTTTATTTAAAAAGAAAAAGTCACAAATCCAGTGGCTTGGTTTTCAGTGTAATAAAATAGGAAATAGTAGACAGAATTTTTTCACTGTTAGCCAGCACATGGGGGTAAATGGCCTAGTGTTGTTTCTTTTTCTTCCCCAATTATTCTTCTCTAATGTTTTTGGAGGTGTTTTTTTTTGTTTTTCTTTGGTTTTTTTTTTTTTTTTTTTTTTTTGTTTTTTTTTTTTTTTTTTTTTTTTTTTTTTTTTTTTTTTTATTTTTTTTTTTTTTTTTTTGTAATTCAACACGGCTCATTTACAAAATAAAGCTTGAGTATCATAGCTTTGAAGGTTGGTTGCAAGTTCGTGTATATTGCCTCACATTTTAGAGAGTAATGCTTAATATGTATCATCTATAATATTAGAATTTCATATGCAATGCAAAGTCTCTTAGGAAGCAAAGGAGTATAAAGAACCCTGTTTTCTGCACTTATATGAAGACATGTAATATTAGTTTGCTAGAATAAAATGAAAGACACTGCTTTTAACTGGGATGTATACAGTATATAGAACTTTCTTTTAAAGAAAAAAGTTATTAATGATTCATGAATTAGACTACAACATGGAATCCTTACACATTACTGTATGTTTGATGTAAAGGTATTTATAGGCTTGTACTTAATAATCACGTTGCCTCAGTTCTTGGACTGCAGAATGTCTACCATGACCGTTGCCTATAGTTTGCTCCACATTTGCTATCTGGCTCTTTTAAAAAAAAACAATGTGTATTTGGCTATTTGATCTGTAAAATAAATTCTATTAATAATGAAGTACGTATTGTAATTCAGCATATTGTATCGCATAATTATAGCTATGACTGTTACAGAAAGCTTTTCATTCCCCACAGTGGGATTGTTTTGTTGGGAAGGAGTTCATGTACCTGCCAGACAGTTTTGCTCTTCCTATTTTTAGCAGCCTTGCAGCATTTATGCTTCAAACTAAAATCCCCCAACACTCCCAGTGGTCAGACATGCAGAGACATTTATGGACTCGGTGCCACAGCTCAGCCAGTTTAAAATTCATTCTGGGAGCTCTCCCAGAAGTGCTGTCTGGGGTCCCACACGCTGCTGCAGTTGCTTGTGGAGGTGTTTCCTAGGTGGGTGATGGGAAAATTCAGCCCTTGGGCCCCATTCAGACTGCTTTGTCAGGCAGACAGGATGATTGCACAGGCTTTGAGTTTCTCTTTTTACCCTGAGTCTTTGGATTTCTCTCCTTATGAGAATTAGGTTGGATTTCCCTTTTAAGAAAATCCCTATACGTAAACTTAATACTTGATTAAGAGAAGCACCAAATAATTTCAATGCTTACATTCAAACTTTTTTTTTTTTAAATAATGAAATTTAGCCATCTCAAGTGAACATGTAGTTGCCCTCAGTTTTTTTCCTCTGGTGGTGACAAGGCATAGATAGGCTGTAGCAGGTTATTTTGATTTTAGGACTGCATACCCTCTAGAAGTGCCTACTTTCTTACACTGAGCATGAAGAGAACCTTTGATAAGTCCCTTTCTTGCACCTACTTAAATGGCACCAGTTAAGTGCTTTCAGAGAATACACTTAGTTTTGAGTTCCTTTGCTTTTAATTTAGCTGAAGCTCTAACTTTTTTCCTAGTATTACACTGGTCCTATCATTCCAGTCTACCAATAAATAATTCTGAAAGCATCTAGGATGATATTAAAATGTCTAAAAGTTACATAAATGAAATAAAAGGTGCATCACATTACTGGTCCCAGTCAGTAACCTCCCTCCTCTGGTTCTCTCATGAGTCAGCCCAGCCAAACATGAGAACCTTCCAAATGCCCTTAGGGAAAGCCAGAAACCTCTTAAGTGGCCCCGTTTCATGTGTTTTGTCTGTTTCAATTTTTGTTTTCTTACATCTAAATATCACTTTTTAAAAAGTTGTTTTTTCATAGGCTGGAATCATAGTTCATTTCTTCCTGATGGTTGAATGGGTACATGAAAAGCCTAATGGTTATTGACCAAATATATGTGTGTGCTAGATATCAATTTCTACACTTTTCTGTGATGAAGGCAAGTAAAAAAATTATATTATTTTTGATTTAAATAGTATTAGCATCTTGAGTCAAAGCTAGATATATGTGTTTCAAAACCAACTCTGTTTCTCAAATGTTTTCACCTACAGAAACATTTTTTTCTGACTGCTAGAAGTCAGAGTGAATTATGAGCAAAAATCACTGAGTTGACCAAATGTTACTTTTGAACTTTGACAGCTCATGATATTTTCTTTGGAATATCAATATATTTATCATAATTCAGACTGCAATTAATACAGTCACCTCAGTATAAACTTCTCAAGGAATTCCCTTTTTTCTCTGGTGCTCATTGCCTCGTCTCCGGAGCCCCAGAGCTTTGGGTCGGTTCCAGAGCAAGGTGGGGCTGAACAAAGAGAAAACTTCTTTATTTATTGCCACTTTTAGTTGTAAGTGAGCCCGTGGCTGCTTGCAGCCCTCCAGCACAGCAGCTGGGGCTGGCTCTCAGAGGAGCTGGCTGCAGCCAGTGCTGTGTTGCCAAATATTCTGGAATTCTTATGGATTTGTGTGTCTACCAAAGCTCCCTCCCACCCGACCTCAAACACTCCTGAGAGCAAGCGAGGCACTGCAGGAACTTGGGGGGATTTAAATCCTTCTGAGTTCAGTTCTGAAGGGCAGTGGGGGGCTGTCAGGAGCAAAACTGGTTTGTGATGTAAATAGAATTATATTTTTAACATAAACGGTAATGCTGCAGGGTTTTTTTTTGTTACACTTCTCCGGTGATTTCCCATTTTGCCATAAAACATATATTTATGGTGTATCCTGGTCTTACATATTATTTGTAAAATCTTTTTAACAAATGATTTGAATATATATTTTTGCTTTCATATTGAATTACTGAGCACTGTTCCTTTTATGTCTTATTTATCTATTTCTAAAATAAATTTGGTTTGACAATTACATTTGTTATATATATTATATTGTGTACCTTCTGGAGAAGCACTGTTTTTAAATACACCTCTGGTCTGTTTGCTTATTGCATGCCCACCACCAAGCCTCTGGTGACTGGTATTTTTCACAGGTTAGGAGCTATGATTATTAAATAACTTAACCACATGTAAGCTTTACAAGAAGAGATATATATTAAGGAATTTGCCTCTTTGAAAACCTCAAACTCTTTAGCAGCACATTTCTTTTGTCTACAATGTTTTCAAGGAAATCTAAGCAGGAATTCCGAGAGTTTTCCAATTATGTTTCCCTGAACATGAGGGTGTTTGTCTCTGTATTTTGTTTGCCTGTGCACAGGGGTGTCTATACACATTTATCACACTTTTAATTAACAAAGATTCTAGGCAGTAAATATTGCACAGGCTGAAACTGCAGAGATGTGCCCATCCCAATATCTCTTGCTGTGAAAGACAGGCAGGCACTAAGGATTTCAATCTGCCACATTATTTGATTTTTGGGAAGATTTGTCTTCCCTTCTGAGAATGTTCTGGGTTCTCAATATGTGAGAAAATGACTCTTGGTGATTTGGAGGTTAGGATACAAATATGAAAAGTGCAGCTTTGAGTCTTAGTGCTGTGATTCTTTCACTAGGATATTTTACTCATTCCTATACTGTCTCTCAGTATTCTAAAATACATTTTTTTCTACAAAATAGACTCATATTCTTAAATTTTACCACTGAAAGTGTTGCAAAATGACACATTTGTATTTTCTTCCAATTGTGAACTTCTGCTTATTTCATAGACACATGTAAATCAAATTCAGTTATTTATATGCATAGAGATGGATATTAAGTGTGATATCAGGAAATTTTCAGGGGCATTATCGACTTTTTACAATCTTTTAAATAGGCTTTATTCATGTTCTCATCTCCAAGGAAGGTGTTCATTCAAGGGGAAATCACTTATATCCAATAAAAGCTGAATGATGATATCAGAGGTACGAGGTTTGATTTCTCATCACTGAATTCCAGCTGAGAATCATGAGCTGAATTTTAGTCTGTTGTTCTCAGCAGTTTCCATCCTTTCCTGAGAGGTGTTCCATGGCTTTGGATGGATGAGGTGCCCTCTGTTCCTGTTCTCTGTTTCCTCCTGGGCTGTGATATCAAACTCTCTAATCATAGGTTTTCCCACACAAAAATACTTTTCCTAGGTCTGGATCCAAACCATCCATGTGCTGCTGGTTTTTCTCTCCCTCTAAGAAACCAACTTTGGACAAATTCTGGTCTTTTCCAGACACTTGGGCATGTGTGATTCAGACAAGCAAATGAACTTCAAACGGGTGACTGGAATTTGGAAACTTCTTCCCTTGGAATGTTTAGGGCATCTGAGAAATTGGAAATTACTCAGAATTTTGTGATTTTCTGACAACCAGACTTGGCCAGTGTGTGCACAGCCGAGGTCATGAGCACGTGCAGGAGTTAGGATGGGAAGGGATGAGGGGAAAGGGAGATCCTTTCAGTCTGTAATTATTATTGTGGTGAGAAACTGAATCCAAATCCTAAGTGCCACATCAGAGATCTTTGCAGATGCAGTTTTAAGTCACATATTTTATTAATTTCATTAGTGTTGACTTATTATGGATAAAAGCAGCAGAATTCTGCTGCTAACTCTGAAGGTATCTGAACATGTGGTTGTGTGTTCACGTCTGGGCTGAAAAGTGATTCAGATCAGGGATTTATTGGGATTGGAAGGTAAGGTATCTTTATTGTATTGTTAACTGTTTTTTGTAGATTGCTAAAAATTGCTTCCCTCCCTTTGAAAAAGAAAGTGTTTGGAGCTGGAAGGTAAGAAAAGTAACTCAGACTTGGAAAAATACATGGTACATTTTTATTTGCTATTTAACTAGAAGAAACTACTTTAATTCATAAAGATGGTATAAAAGATTGATTTTTTTTTTCTTAAATTTAAACTTACCTGGTGTAAAATTACAGTTTTTGTATAACAATCAACTGCATTCCAGCTTTGTTGCATTTTATTTCTTGAAATACACTAAAATAAATTTAAAAGCAAGTGTTTTGCTTGCTAGTACCCAGTTATTATAACTACCTAAGAACATAGGTGCAGATATTTTAATTATGCACTATGAAAGCCTAAGTATTTTCTAGCTTCTGTCTTCTCTTTTCCAAAGTCTCTCTTTCTTTGGAGGTGTTGAACATGAAACTGTCTGTAGCCAACACACCAAGGAATCAAACTGAAGGTGGAAAAGGGCTTTTCTGTTTAAATAAGTCTATTTGTAAACAAAACTTCAAGAGGGGAGGAAAACATTGGATTATGTTCTCAAGCCTAGCAGAAGGGAAGCAACAACTTCTGCAGCCTGCTGGGATTTTGATTGCTATTGATTTCAAAGTTAGAAGCCCAAACAACTGCAATTGTACCAGAAGTGATTCTCCCAACTCCCGTTGAACTCAGAACTCAGCGAGAGCTCTGGCTAAGAGCTGCTGCCACTTGGAAAGGTGTGGGAGATATTGTTATTATTATTATTATTGTTGTTGTTCTTAGCAGCAGTGATCAGCACTGCTGCATTCACTGCTCACAGCCCCTGCTGAGTCACCTTGATCCGCAATATTTTCTGCACCTGAGTGGGAACAAGGGATTTACCAGAAATCCTGTCAGAAAATCTTGGTTTTTCCTCCTTCAGATAGCAGTGACTCTGTGTAAGTGACTCCATCTAAATACAGATCTCTAATATTTTTAAGAAGTGTCTCATGAGGCACACTGAATGCTTACCTTTTTAATTCTTATTTTACACATTGTAGAAGGTTATACACCTATAAAGATATATACACAAACAAAAAAAAAATATTTCCTAAAACTTTTCGTGTTTTCTTTATAAGCCAGGGTTCAAAGCCATTTCCTGCTGTTTAGAAGCATGAGGTTGAATGGATTTTTCAGCAGCCTGAAGTAGATTTTTAATCTAGCAAAATGACATTGTGACTAATTTAAAAAACATGGATAAACAGATTGGTGTTTGCTTACACATGGGGGAATCATCAAACCTACTGATTTTGCAAACAGGAGGCTGGAGGATTTAATGAATGTTATTTTAAAAACTCATATGGACAAAGCTGTAAATCAGTCCCTGCTAAATTATCTTCCCTGTTTAATTCCCATTCTTCATCACATTTATTGTAAGACCAGTTCTATGCATTATCACTTTGGCCAGATTTTAACCCAAGTTACTTCATGTCCTGTCCATCAAATACTGTCTTTGTTCTTCCATGCTGGAAAATAATATATATATGGTCTAACACTGTGAGATTCTTGTTCTCTTGTCTTTAATGAGTGGTGAAAGATTTTCTTACTGCTCTGTTTTCCTATTTTTATATTAATATATTGAAACTATGGTGGGGGGGTTATTTCAGATCAGTTTCCTCTGGGTCTTGTTCAGTTGACTTCTAATACTTTCCTCAAGAAAATATTAAAATAGGATCTATAGAGTCCTCAATGGGATTCTCAAAAATTTGGAGGTTTTTGAGTGGAAATCAGAATCTTAAATGTCTTTACGAATTCACTACCCACCTGTATAAATCTCCAATGGATTCAAATCACTTATAACTGTAAATAGTTTATCTATTTGTCTGTATTTTTGGGGTGAAGCCCCAAGTGCACTGCTTGCTGCTCACTTGGACGGCTCATCAACGTTTGTTTTCATCTTTATTTTATAGATATATTGGGAGTTTTTATTTTAATTTCCTCCTGCTGTAGTGAAAGCCCCGAGAAGCTGACACAATCTTGATTGTTTCACTCACAATGAGCACATCAAACATTTCAGAAACTTATCTCGAACATTGGATATTAAAAGCAGACAGAAATAATTCTGTCAGCAACAATTAGACCAGGAAAACGTAATTGGAGGCAAAAAAGGCTTTTGGTGCTTCCTGTATACAAGATATACAATTATCAGCTTTCAGCTCCCAAGCATGATTTATTAGTTACAGTAGTTTGGCTTTGAAGCACTGAGCAGCCTGGGCTCACTTGTGTGGGGGCTCCAACATCTGTCCTGGCAATCCTCTTCCAGGCTGCCTTGGAGGAATTAGGAGATGGCAACACGAGTTCTGACATGGATATCAGACAGCCAGAGTTAGGAGAGAGGGTTTGGAAGGGGATATTCCATTATTTCATTGCCCCTTTTTAACTCAATAACTCCTCGAACTGTTTGTTTTTATTATTCCAGATGGGAGCAAGATGCATTTAAATGAATAAAGTGAAATAGAACAAATCAAATGCTTGGCTGCTGTTCAAGAGCTGCTAGGGCTGAGCTTTATTAAATTCACATGAGGATATGATAACTGTGGAATTTCACACAATGAACTGCACTAATCTTACTCATGAAGAACATAATTTTTCTTGGGATAGATGAGAGAATCTGAATTTTTGTAATGAAAAAAACAAAGCCTCTTTGGAGTTTTATTTTCTGAGGGCATTCACTGCTTGAGTGAAATCTGTCCATGTCCCACAAACAGAATCTTCATGCACAATCCATTTTTTACACATCAAAAGTTCCAAGGGTTTGTTCTTCCTCCATGGCAATGTGGAGAATACTTCAAAGTAAGCTACTGTGTTCTGTGTTAGAACTATTCCCTGTGTCATCTACAGCCCCTTTAGGAATAAGCATATCTATGTTTTAAAAGAGGGCAAAAGCATGAAAGTTTAAAATTATATTAGATACATTTAATTTATATTTAAATAGGAAAAATTTAAAGCAGAGCAAACCAAATATTTTTAATGATTATTTGCAAGATATAATTCACATTGATGCATTTTCTTTTCTTGTGACTTCAGATCATTTTTATGCCTCTGCAGTAGAATGGCTCTCTATAAGTTAATGTTTTTCACACATTTCCTGTTATTTAATGAAATGATCTATTTTTCCTTTTTTTTTTTTGAAACTCCAAAATTGCTGTTGAAAATTTCTGATGATATAATATTACATTTCCCCCCTCAGAACTACAAAAGTAAAATTCCTGACAATACTCTCACATGACACATTTTGTTACATTTTCTATTTAAATGCAGTGTAGAGCTGCATTCATAAACTATTTCCCTGTATCTAAAATGCTAAAAAGAAAATGAAAATGCTAAAACTCAGAGTTAAATGATGGAGGTCCCAAATCTATTGACAACCTTTTCTTTAACCAAAAAAAAAAAAAGAATTTGAAATAATATGGGAATTTTTTGTCGGCACTGATGAATTATTACCTTCCCAAAGTCATGTATAATTAGAGTGGATATCACTCTAACTATAAAATAAATAAATTAAAATTAAAATGAATAAAATTAAAAAGAGTAAAAGTCAATTGCTGGTTTGATGAGATCTCACGTGTTTGTGTAATATCAAAGTTATCAATTTTCTTTTGTGGGGCTGAATAACTCATTTAGTGTTGTCTCCTTTGAAAATGAGTGAGAGACACAATCTGTCTGCTTGATGAACTGCAGGAATTCATCAAAGCCACAAATGTGGAGCTCACCTGAACGCTCCCTGCACCTTTTCCTGAAACCAGCAGAGCAAGGGTCTGCAGTGAATCCATGGGACACGTGGTCGTAATATTTTGAGAGGATATGTAAAAACAGATAGGTGGGAATGGAAAACGCCTTCCTTACCATGTAAACAACAAAGAAAATAAACCTGAATTTTGTCACCTTGCTGTTTGGTGTGTGG